CCCCAAAACCCCAAAACCCCAAAACCCCAAAACCCCGTTATTAAACCATGAAATTGCAACATAGTATAGGTTCAACAAGAGGTTATATGCAGCAAAAATCTGGCTTAGCTCTTACAGATGAGACTAGTTCCATCCTGGGATATCTCTATCTGCAGGTGCCTGAATATTACTGAATTCCTGTGCTTGATTTGGAACAACTTGGGGATGCTAAATATAGAATTAGCAGCACTTACTTGTGCAGGATTTCCTGGAGTAGGATCCTCTGGTTTGTTTTGGATAACAGGGTTGATAATATTGTTAATGTTCTGTGTCGCCTGCTTCACAACTTGATTGTTAGGGTTGATTTCTTGACCAACAATACTCTGTACTTTCTGAGCTTGATTGAATGGTTGAACATTTGATTGGTAGATGTCATCTTTCTCTCTTTGGATTTCATCCTCAGACTCATTTTGCATCTCATTTTGAGCATTCATCATCTCTCTGATTTCCATCTCTTCATGCTTAGAGATAAGTTCTTCCATGGAGTTGATTTTAAACTGGAGGGTGTTGATTTTAGAGACAATGGTGACTATGAATTACTCACAGTTTTTACCTAAATCTCTACTGTAGTTGAACTCATCTACATCTCTTTTGTATTGTTGGTATTGCTGAGCCATTCTGCTTCTTGACTTTAGCTTTATTGGACATAGAATGTTGTAGAAAAGCATAGAAGTGTTGTAGAATCTATTCGATCCATTCATACCACCTGGTGTTGGCCCAGGTTGGTATTGAGCCATTCTTTTTGACCTACTTCTGCTCATTCCATCTCCTAGCGGAGCAACTCTATAATTAATATATGAATTTATTCAAAGGACTGTGAGATTTTCTTTAGTATAATATTTTAATCTCTGTAAAACCAGGCAAGAATAGAAAGTTTTAATAGAGCTTTAGTGTAGATGAAGTTTGTAGGTCAATTATATATTAAAATACGAACTCTTCTCGAAATTTGAGAAATACTTACTTAGCTTCTTCATTCTGGATAAGTGGCTCATCCTCATTTGGGTTTTTCTAAATTTGGTTTTAGACTGTATCCAAAGTAGAACTTACCAACATAGAATCATTTAGGTTTTGGCCCATCTGATTTCCTCTCTCTTCAGCTTCTTTTCTCAACTTCTCCAGTTCAATTTTGTTAGCCTTGTGCAAGGAGTTGACGCATTCGTGCTCAAAGCATTTCTCATTAATAGGTCTAATACAGAGCCCGAATAGAAGAGTCAGGATAGCATATAGGCCACCCAATTGGGCAAGAATGAAAAAGATGGTATATATGATTGTCATCTTTAAATTATAATAATCAACTTTACACTAGCTTTAGGGGTTTTGGGGTTTTGGGGTTTTGGGGTTTTGGGGTTTTGGGG